ATTGAAATCCAAAGACCAGAAATCGTATATTTACGAGAAAGAGAGTTGAAAAATTCTGTAAGTTTTAATCAAACTAGGTATTTACTCGCGCTACGCTGCTGAATATTTGTTTAAATTTTGTATATATTTTTAATATAATAAAATTATTTTTATAATATAAATGAATATTATATTTATTTTTATTAGCTTTAGTTATGTATTTATATGTTTTAAATCTGAATAAACATTATATATCCTTAATTGTTTTATTTTTCAAAATTACAATCTACTATCAAATTTGTTTAGCTAACTATTTATAAATATATATATAAGAATAAAAGAATACATTTTTAAGTATCTTCATGCCGATGGCAAATGTAATTTATTTTCTCTACTAAATTGTCATTTGATCCTCCTTTAAAATTATATAAAGCAAATTGCTATTTAAAAAAAAAATTAGTAATTAATATGAATATTTTGAATTATAAAATTTATTTAATTATCAAATATTTATTATAAACATATGTTTCTAAAACTACCAAACTATAATCAATAACATTCATATCAAAACCATTGCTGCTTTAGAACTAAATAGAAAGTTATGTTTGAACTGTTGAAATATCAATTTAGTTGAAGTTAAATAATTCAATTTTGGTTACTATAAATATATAAACATATTGTAACTTGAAAATTTAACACAGAGAAATTTTATCTTTTTATAAAAATCGAGAAATTGCATTTTTCGACAAAACAAAAAAATTTCATTTTCCTACGAAACTGAAAAATCGCCTATTCCCGCCAAAACCAAAAAAAAAAATCATTTTCTCGTCAAACCAGAAATATCATTTTCCTACCAAAACCAAAAAATTGCATTTTCCCGCGAGAACCTGTATTTTCACGCCAAAATGAAAAATCAAGTTTTTTCATCAAAACCAAAAAATTTCATTTTCCTACAAAAACCAAAAAATCATATTTTTCCGTCAAAACCGAAAAATTTATTTTCCCGTAAAAACTGAAAAATCGTCTATTCCCGCCAAAATAAAAAAATATTATTTTTCTCGTCAAACCAATAATTACGCCTTCCTACCAAAACCGACAAACTATAATTTTCTGCAAAAATCAAAATTGCATTATCTCCTGAGAAATTGTGTTTCCCGCGACAACTAAGAAATCATATTTTCCTGCGAAAACCAAAAAACCATATTATATGTCAAAAACTGAAAATTTGCATTTCCCATCAAAACCGAGAAATTGTTTATTCCCGCCAAAATCGCGAAATTTTGTTTTCCCATCAAACCGAGAAATTATATTTTCCACCGAAATTGTCAAATTACAACTTCCCGCGAAAACTAAGAAATCACATTTTCCAGCAAAAATCAAGAAATCACATTATCCATCAAAAGCCAAAAATTTGCATCTCCTATCAAAAACCAAGAAATCATATTTTTCGTCAAAATTGAAAAGTTACATTTCCCTCGCATTTTCTCGTCAAAACTAAGATAATTTGTTTTCGCGTCAAAATCAAAAAAAAATTCTCACCAAAACCAAAAATTCACATTTTTCCGCCTAACCCGAAAATTCCTTTTTTATCGCCATAACCGAGAAATTATGTTTTCCTACCAAAACTGAAAATCATATTTTCCTACCGAAACCACGAAATTCTCTATTCCCGCCAAACCCAAGAATATTATTTCTCGGTAACCACCGGATATGCGAATCCCCACGCTGTGGTGGTCTGAACTTCTCCTCATTTACTTTCGACTTCCATTTTTTTGTAAACTTTTGGCTTTTTAATGGGTAAACAGATTTTATTAGTGTGTTAATGATATTTATTATTGTTATGTTTTTATTGGTTCAAATTTTTGCTGATGTGTGAGCTTCTTATAACATAACGCTTTTTGCGTTGTTGTTATGGAAGCATAGTCGATGATGAGTCTACACTTTCTTCGATCATATATGTCTCTATCAAGCAAACACATAGTTAGAAATTTTAATTTTTTTTTGCTGTTATTTATTATTTAAATTTCGGTTTGGCAAAAATATAAAACAAAGACTTAATTTTTTTATTTGTTGTAATTTATTATTTAGATTTGGGGATGGTAGAAAATAAAATAATTTTTTTATTTGCTGTTATTTATTATTTGGGCTTGGGTTTGACAAAAAATAAAACAAAGATTAATAAAGAAAAATATTTGGGTTTTTAATGTATTTAAGTTAAAAATAATAAAAGTTAGTAGATGATGTGTATTAATAAAATGTTTTGATTGGTTGAGGTGTCAACTTTAGAAAGCTTGAAAACTCGCATTTTCTCGTCAAACTAAGATATTTTGTTTTCGCGTCAAAATCAAAAAAACATTCTCACCAAAACCAAAAATTCACATTTTTCCGTCTAACCCGAAAATTCGTTTTTATCGCCATAACCGAGAAAATCACATTTTCCTACCGAAACCAAGAAATTCTTTATTCCCGCCAAACCCAAGAAAATTTGTTCTCGGTAACCACCGAATATGCGAATCCCCAAGCTGTGGTGGTCTGAACTTCTCCTCATTTGCTTCCGACTTTCATTTTTTGTAAACTTTGGGCTTTTTAATGGGTCAGCAAAATAGTAAACTGATTTTATTAGTTTGTTAATGATATGTATTATTGTTATGTTTTTATTGATTCAAATTTTTGCTGATGTCTGAGCTTCTTATAACATAACGTTTTTTACGTTGTTGTTATGGAAAGCATAGTTGATGATGAGTCTACACTTTCTTCGATCATATACGTCTCTATCAAGAAAACACATAGTTAAAAAATTTAAATTTGTTTTTGCTGTTATTTATTATTTAAGTTTCGGTTTGGCAAAAATATAAAACAAAGATTTGATTTTTTTTATTTGTTGTTATTTATTATTTGGATTTGGGGATGATGAAAAATAAAATAATTTTTTCTGTTATTTATTATTTGGGCTTGAGTTTGACAAAAAAAAACAAATATTAATAAAGAAAAATATTTAGGTTTTTAATGTGTTTAAGTTAAAAATAATAAAAGTTAGTAGATGATGTGTATTAATAAAATGTTTTGATTAGTGTTTTTTTTTTTTTTTTTGATGAGATGTCAACTTTAGAAAGTTTGAAAATGCTGATGTGTTCGAGATACATTTGTGTTATTGTTGTGTTGATCTCTTTATTCTCGATCTTGCTCGATTTCTTTCTTTTGAGAAATTAATTTCTTCTTCGCCGATGGGATAAAGGAGAAGTCTCTCTGCAAGAGGCTGCAAATCGAGAGTTTTGGATTTTAATCGGAAGATGTGGAGAGTCCAGGCTGAGTTTACTTCTTCCATCTCCGATCTCCATTCTCTCTTTCTAATCAAAAAATTCCATCTTCCATGGGATCTCTATAAGGTACTTAAATCCCCGTTTTCTCGGGATTGATTTTTGCCTCAGGACTCACTAATTTCTCAATCGGGATTGTAAACCTGAATCGATTGTCTCTGCTTTTGTGTATTAGCTGAAATCGTCTAAACCAGTGAATTCGTAAGAGAAGATCTGAAGCTTGTGTGTAGTTACTCGATTTTGCTGCAAAATTGATGAGACTGCTGCGGTTTTGCTTTCGAATTTGCATAGTGGAAGTGATGATGAAGAGCTTTGTTGGCCAAGCCAGATTCTATGTTCGATCGTGCTTCCCAAGTTTGTCTACTATTGGTCAAAGAATATCTAAATTTCCGGTTCTCTCTTACTCGCACTTCAGCGTATTTTCGATTGGCTTACGAGTGCTTTCGTCTGATTCTACCACTTTCTCGGTATGATTTACATGCTGTAGTTGGTTGTATTAATGACGTATTCATGCTGGGGACTCCGATGTCGTACGACCACTGGTTGCTTTCAAGATTCGGTTTTGTCGTAGCCTGTCTTTGCGGACATTGGTGAGTCTACGATTTTGTTACCCTATAGAGTAGTTGTGTCTACTCCACAATAGAGTTTTACTGCCACATACATGATAAATATTTGGTGGTGTGCAGTTACTTGCAAACTAAGCAAGCTGGTTTGTATTGTTTTAGCTTCGCACAATGAAGAGTTGTTCCGACTTAGTAGACAATGGCACCAGTTTTGTGAAAGTCTACAGCGACAGAGGATTATTAATCTGACCGCCACAATTGATCTTATTCGTGACTTTATTATTTGCGGCGCTTTGTTTGGTGAACTGACGTCTCGACGCCACTCCTTCTTTGATAACTTTCAACGCAAGATCTTTTTTTTGGACACAAAGGAATGCATGTTCAGTGTCATTTGGGGTGTGATATTCAGTGGTTTGATCTCATATGTTGGTCTTTTCATGGATTTGAACAAAGCAGAGCATGAGGGAATACAAGTCTTCGCTTTGTCGTTATTGTCTGGGTTTTTGATGCCTCCTTCTGATTCTTTTATGGTCTTTGATTTTACGGGCACCGAAGAGTTTATGTTATTATGGGCATCATGGGCTCTCGGCACTTGTGTGTTTCCTCTAATTCCGTTCACACCTGAATCCATCATGACCTTCCCAACCATGTCACTTACGTGGCATCACGGCGTTTCTAAGCAGCAAAGAAGAGTTTCTACGCATCTTCGTGTAGCTTCTCGATCGGGTCATTGCCGTTGTTGAGTTCCAATTTCTTCATGTTTATTATAGATATTGATGGAGTCTCACTACTTGTGCATCAAGCAAGCTCTTGTTGATTGTTATTTTGGCTTTGGAGAGTGTGATACAACGTATCATCGAGAACAATTGGTGTTACGCATACGATGATTCAGATTCAGGGACGAATCTTTTCAAACCCGGGGAGACTGATGCAGCATCGTTACCGTTGTTATCAAACAACGTTACTTATCTGACAAGTTATCGTTTTATATTTGGTTTTATTATTACTTCTATAGAATAGGATAAGTGTTTGGAAGATAAGTTTAAATCTTTTTAGAGATATGTTTTTAAGATTTGACGTGATCGTCTTAGGTTCTATTTATACGGCGTTCTTTGTATGATAAAACAACTTGATTATTGATTTGGATTTTAATAAAGAGCCTTTACAATCACTGAGAAGAGTATTCTCAAATATATTGTTCTTCGTCTATCTCAACTTTGAACAAGATCCGAGAGAAGCTCGAATTCTCCTGGAGAGTTTGATCCCTTTTCTTGTTATAGCTTCCACTCTCTATCACAATCCTACAAGGGTGATTGTGGGACAAGACTGGAGAGAAGCTGATGTTGTAAACAGAGTTCCTCTCATTGGCACAGGGAACGATTTCTCGTGAAGGAAGAATGGAGAAGTTCTACTGGTAATAAATCCACACAGATTTGATTTTCATTTTCCTGCAACTATTGGATCTTTCCTGATTCTGAAAAAAAAAAGCTCAAGTGTTTGATGTTCAAAAACAGGCAGCCAACTCGTGAAGGCATCGCTAACATTGTTAGCAGAATGTACGAGAAAGATGGGATATCGCGGAAAGATGTTGTAAGCATTGTTGATAAGTTTCCAAATCGAGGTAATATATTTACTATCTCAATGAGGAGCACGAAGCTGCAGTGTGAAGCTTTTCCTTACCCCTTCATTATTTATTGCAGCACTTGACTTCTATGGAGCTCTGAGGTCACGTACATATGATAGATCTATCCTCAAGGTAACTTAACGTCAGCAGCCATGAACAAACCATCTGTTACAGATAGGATCTCTGCAGTGAAATGGCTAATCTCTTTGTTGTAACAGTGGGTATATGATGCTGGAGGAATAGAGACTCTAGGGAAAACTCTTCTCAGGTGTAAAAAGACCGAAGAAGTTCCTCAATTCATTCCCCCTGAGGTATAAATGCCATAATAGGCTTCACAGTGATCTCTCTCTCTGATACTCTTAGATTTTGTTCCAGTTGAGATCCTATGAAGGGTTTGTTTCTTATGATGATATTGATTGGTGTGAACAGCAAACGGTGGAAGCATTGCTGGAATCGAATACTCAGTCATTAAGGAACAAAAACTCATCATCGAAACAAAGCTTTCCAAGGAGTACATGAAGAACATTGATGATTAAATACCAAACAAACCTTGATTTCTTTTTTTTCATTCTTAAAGTCTACTGATAAGTTGTTAAAAAAAAGCTTAAATACATAACTGAATCGCTCTATAGAATTTTTTTTTACTAACCCCACGAGAATGGAACCTAAAGCCGATATGGTGCCAATACATTAGATGTGAATGCATCTTCACAGAACATGCAAATGCATATACACAGTTTACATAAAAACAGCAACCATTTTAACCTTAAGAATAACTAAGCGCATAACAAAAGCCACTCCCTTTGTACTTTGCTACACACATTAAGATCTTCAGTCTGGCCTGTGACAAATGAAATGACGGATTATATCAGAACTATATGATATATCTGAATGTACAAAGAAAAGAATATGATCATAGAGAAGTGAAGTTGTAGATTTTTGGCTTGGCATATGATCTCTTTATCCTCCGAGGAATGAAGTTGTATTTACGATTTAAATAGTACTCATATAAGAGCAGATGTTTTCTTTCGTGGTTTTCATAACACATTTCTTCTTTCTTCGCTTTTACAACACATGTATTGTTTTTTTCCTCAGAACACATCTCTTTATTTTTTATTAACACATCAATGCATTTTATTTAAGAAATTCACATATAATATGAACATTTATATCTCTTTTATTACTAAGTTCAATCTTAAAACATTTTATAAAATAAACAAGGTTCAATACATCCTTAGTAATATTAATATATTAAAAAAGGTATTCTAAATATTTGACTGCCGGAGAAGAAAATGAAGAAGACTAATCGGTTAAAGGAGAAAGATTATATATGTATCCATAATTGTAATAAGAAAAATTATAACAAATATATTAATTTCTAATTTTCAATAACATCACTGTTTCTTTTTATTTTCAGGGCAAATGTATTAACAGTATCTCGCTGAAGCTATAGATTTCGAAGTTTTTTTATCTACAATAAAGTTCTTTGGTTATATTAAAAGAAACACAATATTTATGCTATTTTTGTTTTTACAAACATCTAAAAATACAAAAAAAAAATTAAATATTTGAAAGTAAAAAAACAGTAAACATAAAAATAAATTACTATGAAACAGATATATAATTACTTTAAATATTATATTGATTATAATTTTAAAATATATGTATATACGGGTTATCACCTAGTTGGAATAAAAAGTCTCCATAACAAGAACCATACCATTTTTAATTAATAGATATTTCAAACTAAAAAAAGTGATATTAACATGACTTGGAGAGATTACATTCCTTTTGGATGATTATTTTAGACAAAATGTAATGAAAATGACGAGAATGCACAATTGTGGCGACATTATAAACTTGGGAAAACCTGAGAGAAGAGAGGAAGGGTTAAACAAAGTTTCAAAATTTTGAATCTACAAAATCACCACACCCCTATAGATTTATCTCATCAAAAAATCTAAGTTTATTGAAAATACAAAGCAAAAAAAAAAAATTAATAAAACCGAAGCAAAAAAGAAGAGAAATGGCAAAGAACCTCAACTCCGTCAACTTCACCGTTCTCTTGCTTGTTCTTATGATGGCTTCAACTGGTATTAGTTTAACCAAGTTTATCTCTATTAAGTATACTTTGCAGTTGTCTTTTAGTTATCTGGTGCTGATGATTTTGATGAATATGTGGTAAACATTTATGGTTCCTCAAGAGCAATGCTGAAGTATGTGTTCATGCATGCATTACATCCCCTCCCTGAATTTAATGGGGAGTGGGGACCAGCCCGTTCACAAGTACAAATGCTGATTGTGTTGCCTGTTGCAAAACCAAATTTGGGCGGTTGTTGAGAGAACTGATAAACACTGCCATTGCTACTCAAACTAAGGAAGTTTGAAACAATCTTATATAAGTACCAAATGTAAGTATTTTTTTCTTTTTTCTATAAGATTTTACCAAGTGTAAGCTTTGTTTCCATTTGGTGTGTGTGTGTGTTTATGTACAAGTTTTTTTTGCTTCCAAATAAAACATCAAGAGCAAAGCTTATCACTGCTTGCCCCTCCCAAGTGTAATCTCATGTTGTATGCACTTTTGTTTTATTTTGGAAATACATTATATTATAAACTCGTTTAGAATTTTTCTCTTGTAAACCCCTAGACACAAGAGATTAAACCTCTTGGACTTAAACACAACCTTCGTGAGCGATGCATGAATCCGAGGAGCTAGCTTCGTTTTTCTTTAAGACTTTACGACATTAACACAAACACAAACACTTATATTAAATAACAGTAAACAAACCAACATTTACGTCTAAATTAAAGACGCATATGCAAAATATCAAGATAAATCAGAAAAAAAAAGAAAAACACAATTTTAGTTATTTTAATAAAAAACACAAACAATTAAAACATGTTGTCAGGCTTTTCCCAGAAAAAACTTCAAGCAAACATGACACAGCGTTATGAATAAACTGGTGGTGCTCATCAACAGCAGCTCAGTAGTTTCTTAGTTGCTTCCAAATCTGTTCTTCCTTGTTTGGAGAAGGGCGACATGTGTAAAGCAACACTCTCCTACTTCAAGGCGAAGGTCCAATCACCAAAAGCCTATCTCCAATGGACTTGAACGCAACCCCCCAACCAGATGCGGCATTTGCTCTCACAGGCGCAGCACCAAGTTTCTTCCAAGCGTTTGCATTTATATCATAAACACGAAGCTCATTCGAAGATATTTCCAACGAGTAGAGCTTGTCGTCGACCACCGCAATGAGGGGCGGCGACTGGCCAGACGTGAAGCTCATGTCTCCAAGCATGTTGGGTATCATCTTCCAAGAATTTTTCACCTCATCGTAACTTTCTCCACAAGTCAGGTTTTGATTATTCTCATCTCGGCCACCAATGACGTGAAACTTTCCGCGCAAGAAACATCCTGAGCTGAATTGCCTTCTCTTAGGCATGCCACGAAACGCAGCCCACGTTTTGGATTCGCTGTTATACTTCTCAAAGGTGTTCAAAACCTCCTGGATCTAATTTTCGTCAATATGAATTCCTCCAGCAAAATAAGCATTGGTTCCATGGCTGGCAGATCCATACAGGACTCTTGGTGTTATCATTGAAGGACCTTTGAACCAGTTATGCTTCTCTAGCTCATATCGCCACACCACCGTGTCCTGCATCTCCTTTCCAATGACTATTATTTGTGTACCCGCACTAATCGTTTCCTTATCACAATGGAAGAAGCAATAGTCTTGAGAAGGAACTTGTGGAAGTTCTCGAAAACTCTCAAAATCCTTATCAAATATTGTCCATTGACTTTCACCACCTGAATGCAAAAATATGTATGGTTTCACAATCACGCGTTCTTTCCTACTCTTAAAATTTTCAAAGCTCTTTAATAACTGCATGTACCGACTGTTGAGAAATTTTAGTTTCCCGAATTCAAAGCATGGAACACGAACAAAGATCTCAACCTTAAGCTCCTCCGTAAGCTTAGGAAAAACACAACCTGAATCATGAGCTTCTGAACCTGTCAAATTCTGAGTTGTTTCTACTATTTCTCCTTCTTCTTCTCCCTCCGAATCTGAATAAAGTTCTGCATTTAGATCAGGAATATTGGGTTTAACTCCAACTAGCCGCGACTTCTTTGGGTCAGATTGGCTAAAGTTTGCTCCACTTCTGAGACCTTGATCTTTTCTTACTGTCAACATTTCTTGTTTCCTTTCTTTTGACATCATCTTTTCCTGTAGATTACAAACCAACACAATAATAATATGAGTAAATAATCACTTAATTTCTTTGTACGAATATATGATTTACATTTTTAAGCAGTTATAAAGTCTCAATTTTGTTATAAAGAAACTAGGAAAAAAAAGAGTAGAGATTCTTTTACGGTAGAACATCAAAGAGATTTAAAATTTCACTATGTACACCAAACTCAATGATTTAAACAAGAACCTTATTCATTGTTGCATTTGAAAAATATATGATGTATTTGAGAAAATGGTATCTCACTATATATTGAGAAAAATATGAATTATATGCAAAAATGATATTTCGCTATCGAATACCACTTTATTGAGTTGTAAATTGGGAATACAAATAAACATCTCTATAATGTTTCATATTTTTAAAGGTTTTTTCTTTACTTTCACATGTTTTTTTTTTTAACTTTAATGCATGTACAAAAATAAAATCAGTCAATATGTGTTGTCTATCTGAAATTAGAAATTGGCTTAATTATTTTTCAAAAATTGAAAATTTATATTAAGATATCATCATCATACATATATATTACATAATATAATAATTTGTTAATAATGAACTCTGAATGATTAAAACAAAAAGTAAAATTAACAACATTAGGTTTATTGTTAAAAAATATTATGCATTATACCTCTAAAGCTGTTCGCGAAGATATTGATAAGTACCCCTTTGAATTTAGATTTAATTTAGTTAGTTAGAAAATGTGGGGCTGCCAATTTTTTAGATGAATAAATGGAAACCTACTAAAATATTTATAGTCTATCTACTTTTAATATAGATTGTTAAATTTTTTTAATTCAAATTTCTTCCATAGTATTGAAAGTTTTTCATTCAACTTTTTATCATAAATATTTAATTTTACACCTTAAATTATTCATTAATTTTATAATTTTGACTTTTTAATGTTAGTTATTTTAATATTTACCATGAAATATATTAGTAAACTAGTATTCAGTTTTGACTAGTTGTTGGTAATTTTCTAAGAATATTTATTAAGTTACCAACAAAGAATTTTGACTACGGTTTTCATTTCCCTTGTATTAGTTAGATTAATTTGTTTCCAAGTTAAAAAAACTAAAAATATATATATAAATAAGTGCGGTTATATCTCAGAAAATATTTTTTCATGAAAATGATATATTTCGAATTGAAATTATATATATTCATATCAAAATTTTAACAATTTTGAATTTTGCTATCCAATGTATTGGCTTTCAGACCAAATGATATGCTTATGTGATAACAAGTTTTTATTGGAAGAATAATATATT